TCTGACTGGGCTTGAGCTATTTCACAATTTAAGAGTATTTCCAAACAGGTTGTGCAGTAAATCATTTCTGAATATAAAAATACAGAGTGGTGAATATGTGTGAAAGATGCACTGTTAGATTTTTTTTTTAAAGTATGAAATCTAAAAGGTATTTTATAGTTATGTCTCCTTAATGGAATTATAAGCTACTTGAGCCACAAAAATATCCTCCAAATACATAAAAATGTATATTTGTAATTTGACAAAAAGGTAAAATAAGAATGAATACATGAGAAAGGCCCCTCTATGGATAAGTGCACTTTGGCGGTTGTCAGCGTGACAGATCTAAACATCTGCTGAGTCAAATCCATCAGAGCACAAACAAGACAAAACCAGAAGCCCAGAGAATGGAAGTTGTTTCCAGAAATGTATTTATAATGAAATAAAATGTCAACATAAAAAAATAAAGCATATAAAATATAGAAAACACACACAGAGGCAGCTCTCTCCTGCAGAAGGTCGCCCAGAGCCTCGGTGGGATTTGTTTTAATTCGTACTCCACTGCTCTCCGCGCCTTCAAGGTAATTGGCAATCTCATTCCCACTATGCTTGATTTAGCACCTCTGAAAATGTTTTCAGCGTTTAAGAAGTTTGTATTGAGAGCATAAGGAGCCCTCACACACTCATCTGTTTCTTAGTAATATTCAGCAAATGAATAAAAACTGCTTTAATAAGACGGCTATAAACTTTGGGTCTTTTTTCTCTCCTACTGACTTGCTCTCATGACAAAATGGTAAAGGAAGTCTACATATTTTTGGCTTAATGTCTGGAGACTTGTTACTTTTCCCCATAAAACTAATCAATGTGACTCTATCCATGAAAAGGATTCCAGTAAACAAAACTTTCCAGTGTTCACAATTCTGCTCCATTAACACAATAAACGTCAAACAAGAATTACGCTTGAAGAAAATACAACAACAGACGTTTACCAGGAACTTCACTGATTACACTGTATTTACACAACTTTTATAAGCCAGCTGGTTTGAATGGGAAACAGAGGAGCAGATTTTGAGCAGATTATGTGCATAAAAAAATACAAAGACATTTAAACCTGACAAATATATCCTCAAATGCAATACTTTTGTTTTGACATTTCTTGTTCCAAAAGGAGGAAATTCTAATGACATAAAGGGATGGAGTGGGAGAACTGTTGATTCTACAAATCAATGCTGCACTTTAACTTAAAGCTAATGTGAAAGGCCACTTGCAGTGCTGTAAAAATATTTGCAGTCCTACTTCCCTTACTTTTCATCAGACGGAGGTAACCTGAATGAACACAACCCTCGCTCTATGTAGGAAAACCTACAACGTCAATCGCTTGGAATAACTTTTTCTTCTTTAAATAATTTCAATAATGTAAATTTAAAAAAATTGGGAGCTGTTTTTAAAGCCTGAACCACCTTTTCATATCAAGCCAGTTCAATCTGATTTAAGTCCAGACTTTGATTAGGTCACTACAAAAGCTTAATTTAATTTATTCCAGGTTTTTTTTCTGGCCTTCTGAATGAGATGAAAATGTCCTCTTTGAATAATTTAGCTACCACTGCTGGAAAGGTTCACTTGAGTCAGTTTAGACTGTTAGATGTCTGTAATTTTTTTTTTTTTTTTTTATTCTTGTATTTCTTTAAATTGTGGCATGGTGTGTTGCATTTGGAGATCTAATTGCCTGCATCAAGCTGTCAGACAAATATCTTTCAGGTCTACTGGTAATCAGGTTGGACAGTAGGGAAACCAAACTCAGGTTTTTAAACAATTTATGTTTGACTGAATAAAAGGGAGAACTTTGTTTTTCATTCAGCGGTGGTCTAGTACTTTTTTTTTTGTTTATTTACATATGATTCATAATATAAATCACAAAATGATTATCTTGATTTGTTTGATCATCTGAATTATTAACAAGTATAAGCAAAAGCAGGGAAAAAAACTCTAAGGGAAAAATAAAACCCTTCACAGCACTGTACCTGTATGGGAGCTTAATTGACAGACTGTGAGGTTTTGATTAAAAATATTGGACACAGCAGTAATAAGGAAAGGTATTTGGGTCATTTCCAATACAGTGACTCGTGTAAACTCTGACAAGACACCTATATTTAGATTTATCTGTAATAATATTGTGAATGTTCTTCCAACCCATTTGGAAATTAACTCAGTAAAAATGTTTAATTATCTTGATTTTTTTTCTGCCTTTAAAGTCATTAAAGAGTGAATCATTGCTTATATTTCCTAAGTTACTCAGCTCCCTAAGAACAAATTCCTCTGGCTTGATCTACTGAAATAAGGTGTAAAAGTGTCAAAACCCATCTGAAAATAAATATTCCTCAATAAGATCCCCAGTGTTGTTTATCATAACTTTTGTGGTTGGCTCCATTATAAGGATTTCAGGATTCTGATTATCAGAGCAAGGAGGGGACAGAATCATTCTTAGCATTTACTAGGTACATATTGTGTCCATCATAATTTAATATCTTTAATAGCAGTTGAAAACAGTTGCTAAAATAAGGAATTTCTCAAAAATGTTTCCTATATGCTATAGTGACCCTTTTTTTGTCCCAAACTAACCCTATCCTTCAATCTCCTCTAAGTTGTTTAATCTGTTTTCACTGAAGTGCTATTAATGTCCATTTCATCCACAGATCCATAAAAAGTTTCCTGACTTTCCATTAAGACAGTTAAAGATGAATTAACTGAAAAAGACTTTCCTAAACAAAAGGTTGGGATTTCTTTTTTGAAGCAAAAAAGCTCCAACTGCTCATTAGACTATGTTTACGCTTAGTTGAGTATATCTTTTGGTTGCACAATTCATCATGAGTAACTTGAGCTTTTTGGAGATGCACTGAAAACACAGTGAACATTAGATAATGTAGCTTGAAGTTCTTTATGAGCTACTGACATTTTTATATAACCTACTGGTTTTAGGTTTAGGTTAAATACATTAATATGGAAAAGTTTTTCTTAATCTGTCATCTTAAGTCCTTTTATTTATTTGTAATTGTTCCACTTAACTATTTTTTGCTCATACTTGAGTAAACTTTTATATGCTGACTTTCTATTTTTACTTGAGTAAACAAATGTTGTGGAGCTAATCTTGAGTAAACATTTTGGGTGCTTTGTCACTCTCTGCTTATTACCCTGTCACTTGCATGGTATCTCCATACTGTCTAAAGATTATTTTTCTATTTGACTGATAGTGCAGCAAATGTAAAATGATCCCCAGATTCTCCAAGTTATCTTTGTTTTAATTTTAACTATTCAGTTTCTTGCATGTCAAAAGATAGAGAAGCTAAATAGAATTTAAATAGGGGACAGTGCTACAATATTTACGTAAATACTGCCAAAATTTGACCTTAGAACTAAAAATAAAATGTCTTAACCTAATGAACTATGAAAACACATTGTCCTTCTTAACCAAATCATTTGAAAATAATTCTGTATTTTTCTGAAGTTTAATCCTCATGCATACAAACTATCCTTTAAAACAAACCTCGCCCAGTGTTGGGAAGTGCTCTCTGCTTTTGCTACACCCATGCATTTCCTGTGACCGGTCAGTAATTTTCATCAGTGTAGATTCATTCTGGTCCACATTGTTTTATTTCGCCCACACTGGAAGATTTTAAGATTTCATCACAGCTTTTGAATCATGTTTAGTTTAAGGATTAATTAGACGACCTGTAAGAAAAACCTTTTGTTTTATTTTTCTAAGTAATTCTGATGTAAACAGGTCATCCTGTATTAACACACATTATGACTGTAATATCTTAAACTTATTGCCAGATATTTCATTTAAGAATTTTCCCATTTGATTGTGGCTTCATGGATTCATTCTCAAGAGTCCAGCACTGGACACCAGGACCATTTTTAAGTGTTGATCTGATCTTTTGTTCTGAAATATATATCTTTATATCTTTACATTAGCAGTAATGGAATGCAAGCCTTCTAAAACGTCCACCTTTCAGTCCCCAAATCAACAGTCTACTTTCCAAGAAATTTTTCATAATATCTCCAATGGATGCAATTATTTTCCCATCTTTTTTAGTTGAATCATGAAAATTGACTTAAAGGCAAATTAGCCAAGCAGTTCTTTATATGAAATTATGTTTCCATTCACATCAGTAACTATGGTAAACCTTTTCCCTGTAATAGTATGCTTAGCAATAACTTTGTAACACTTACTAGTTTGATTTATAAAGTTGATCTTTTCTCATTTGCTTTCAAATTTCCACCATCAGATAAGTTGGTTTCTCAGATCATCTAGCCTACTTCATGTTGTCCGATAAGTCCTGGTTCAATGATAACTTTTTTAACTCGGCAAGAACCACTGGAGATTGTAGTCTCACTATTAATCTGTATTCTACATCTCTGTTTCCAGTCCAAGACAGAGACCAGGATGACTCCAGTCATGGGGTGCTATCAGAAATGGACAGGAAGCTGAATACAGGGGCCTGGTGGACAGCTTTGTGTGGAAAGAATATAATCATGAATGTTAATAAACAAAGGAGAGGATTGTAGATTTGATGAAAAACAGGTCAAACACTTTAAAATCGTAATAGAAGGATTGTGGCTGTTGGAGGAGGATAAGTTGTTTACACCGTCCCAAAAGGTGAAGAAAAAGTGAAACGGACTACAATAAGAGAACGAGCAGGACAAACTTTTTTTTAAGGAATCTTAAATCTGTCAGCGTTTGTGATCTCTTCTGCCATCATCTGCTGGGGTAACAGCAGCATCAGAGCAAACGACTGAAACTCTGTTCAATATTCTCCCCTGGAGATGATTTCACAAAGAAGAATTCTTTATAAACTGAAGAACATTTTGAACAACACTGAGCATCCACTTCATAAGATGAATTTGCAAAACCAGCGTCTTTATACAGGCTTCACTAGACCTGCTGTAATGCAGACCTCTACAGGAGATCCTGACTTCAGCCATCAGCATCTTCAACAACTTACAGTATTGAATACTCTATAAAATATTTATAAAGTATTTTTCAGTTGAATTAAATTGAATGCAGATTAGTATCCAGGCCTGGATGTAATCAGTTAAAATAAACATATTTCATGACTTACATTAAAAAAGGTTGGCATTTATATTTTTAAATAAATCCAGACTGTTTTTGATAGAATGTACAAAACAATTTCAGGTTGTATCACCTCAGGTTATCTTTGTCTGATAAAGCACTCTATTTGTTAAGCTCAAACATTTCAGAGTGTCTTAAAGTTTATATAGTTTTTAATGCACTGTATAGAAACAAAAAGAAACCTTTCAACTCAATCTAAAAGTAATACTTTTCTCTGTACCCCTGGAAAAAAAGCACTTATCATATGTGGTAAAAGCAGCTTAAGGTGGAAATAAATGTACATCTTTCAGTAAAACTCTTCTAAATAAATGTTGCAACTTTGTCAATTACATTTGAATCTGATTGGATTGATCTGACCCCCCACCACCATGCAGAGCTGTCTTTCAGAGATAACAATGGTTAAAATGCTTCTTTAAATGAATAATGTTACTACAAGTCTCTGTCTGTCTATATGTTTATTTTATTGGTTTAATTGGTTTGTGTTGTGAAGGCTGTGGTGCTTTCTTCAGCCAAAGTGTGACACTCTTGGTTTTTGGCACTTTTAAAACAAAAAAAAGGTTTAAAGGACGACTTTGCTTTAATATCCTCTCCTTCGCAGCGCCTTAGATGCGATACATTTCCATACAGATATTCTCAAAATAGAAATAAAAGAATTGTTTTAATTTCTTTAAGAATGGAATAACAATATCATCAAATAAAATGTAAAAAAAAAAAAAAAAATGAACAGCACAAAGATAAACGACTGAAAATACTGCATAGTACAAATGCCCAATAGCTGTTTATGTCTGTCCTGCTCCATAAGGTACAAAGGGCCAACAGGGACAGACCACAATGTGACAGGCTCATCAATTCTTTTTCCTCTGACCAAGGGGAAAAAATAAGCCAAAAAAAGTTCAAAATTTGACTTTGGGCTTTGCTTCTTGGGCAAAACATGTCATCAGTATTGTCCTGCTTTTTTAAGAACAAGTTCAGAACGGCTGAATAAAAATACCACATGGTCTTTGATCCCTGGAAAAAGAGCGGTGTCTACTGGAAAAGTAATTTATGTTGGATTTCCAAAGTGTTATTCAGGTTCACTGCTATTTGTTGTCTTGTCCCACTCTATGCTCTCCTCGCTGTGTGTGGGAGATGGAATAGCAGCACTGGCCCCTGCGGGATGCATCCTAAGTCCCTGGAAACGTCTGCACTCAGGGCAAATCCGGATGTGGCTGCAGCCCCTGGCGACCAGGGTGGCTTCCTGTGCCAGTCTGTGGGAGAGCGGCTCTGGCAGGCCAGTGCCAGCACACAGTTTGCCGTTGCTAAGGCTGACGGCGGCTGCTCGTGCTCGACGTTCCTCTAGTGGTAAAGGTCGCGGCCGCAGCATGGAAGCTGCTCGCCGACGCCTCACCTGCAGGCTGTCCTGACACAGCACGATCCCATGAAGCTCCCGCAGCATCTCCTCACATACTGACTGCTGCGTGCACACACAGGAATGGGAACAAAAGAAAAGGATAGAGGGGGGATAAGAGAGGGAGAACAATGGAGAGAGGCCAGACAAGTCACTGACTGACTGACTCAACCAGGACAGACTGACGGACGTCACAAACACACACAACACATACAGGTTTTATGATTATCGTGATGATTATTGAACAGTCAGAAAATAGAGAACACATTAAAACAATATGTTAAAATGTTAATTTCACTTTTGACACATGAAGCAAAATGAATAAAGGTTTTGACTGATTCAGGGTTATTCGAAAGTATCCAAACATCTCCCCTTCTCATTTCAACCATAAAAGTGTGTTTTTGTTAGTAAATGATAAAACAAACAAACAAAAAGCAGTGCATGATTTATAATGGAAGGAAGCATATGTTTATATTTTTAATAATTTATTAGAAAAGCGTGATGTGCATTTGTATTCCATCCCCTTTCTCTTTATTCTCTTATGTGAAATCCTAGTAAGCCAAAATAACAATGTACAGTATAGCACAGGATTAGTTCTATACGTTATTAATCTGGGACTGCTCCAATTAAACAGAGGTGTCAAAATATTAAAGTTTATTACTCAAGTAGAAGTATAAATCCTACTGTTTACAACACTTTTGTAGAAGTTAGACTACCAACTTAAGCTTTTTACTCAAGCAAAAGTGTAAAATACAATTTTTAAAAGTACTTTAAGTATCAAAGTAAAAGTAATGCAGGAAAAAACGCTAGGGATAACTTCCTTACATTTAATTCTCTTAGTTTTATGACTAATGGCAACAGTGTCAAATTTAAATAGAAAAACTATTTATTTTGGTATGTGGGGAACAACAAGTTGGTGCAACCAGAAGGAATTATTTGTCTGGATGAAACAAATTATTTTGATGGTTTTTAACGAAAATTAGCTTGAATGAAACAAAACCATGGAGTCTATTTTTAAAACGTAAGAAGTAGAAGTAGAAGTAAAAGGTTGTCTAAAAATAATCCAGTAAAGTATAGATAACCTAAATTTCTACTAAAGTAAGGTAATGAAGTATTTGCACTTTGCTACATGACACCTCTGCAGTTAAATATATTCGTGGGTGAAAGGAGGGACATTCAGCAAAACCTTTGGAGCTGAACATGTGTGAAAGATGCACTGTCTGGGCACCTACCTACCAAAAGCATCGATCACATAAATACGTTTTACAGATTTAGACTCAGGGGGGCTAAAAATAATTGCACCAAAAATTTTAATGTTTTTAATGTTTTAAAAAATGTGTTACTGTTAGTTTATGTGTATAGTATGAGCTATTTTCTGTTTGGTCCTTCTCATTAAACCCTAGTAAAAAACAACCTGGAGTCGAAATTATTTTGCAAAGTTCTGTATGTAATGTTCATCTGCTGCGAAAGCAAAGGTTCCTCAACAAAGAAAAAGCTCTTAAATGCATGCAAGAAGGACTCCATTAACTCATAAATGTGAAAAACTATAATTCACATGTGAGAGGGCACCATAACAAAATATGTCTGGAAGAATATTAGAAGAAGAGATGCAACACAGTCATACAAAACCTCAAGGTTTGTCTACTCGGAAGGGGTAAAAAAGCACATTCCCTTTATACCTCATTTCCTGGAGCCTGTTTTAACATCCAGACAAACTCCAGCACAGCCATGAAAATAGCCACCAGCAGGCCACAGACTAACACGACGAATATCCCACCAATGTTCTCCATACCAAGACCTAAGGAAATGAAACATTCAAGAAATGAGGAATAAAGGATGAAAATATTGATTTATTTGCTCTTAAAGGAAGAAATGAAACCTTTGGCTCTGTGATCCTCCTCCTTCGGACACCTGCCCCCATCCCACCATTTCCTCTTGAGGATCTCCAAACGATTGTCCTCTTGAAGTTTAAGGATGGCGAGGTCAAACTCATCACGGTACACTGACCCTGAAAGGGGAAGAGTAAGCACAGAAAGGTCTACTTTGGTGCATTCAAGTTTCTGAAACCTGAAGAACTTTGAGAATTAATCTAATTTTCCACAAAAGTCTCAAGACCGATTGCACTGAACCATTATCTGTGTGGCTGGGGTTGGTTTGGCAGTCAATTTGAAGATGAAATCAGAGGCCGGTCTTTTGACTGAACAATGCAGTCAGTCCCCAGTTTTTCTAAAGGTTCATTGTGGCGATTGCATTCACACCTAGTGGCATACATTTCAGATTGCAATCAGCTGATTATACTGCACCTCTCCTGCTTCTTAGGTTGAAAAGGAGACGGTCCTCTCTGGAACAATGATATGCCAGTACAAAAGCAGATTGCAAAGTGCAGAACCCATTGCATCTTTGACAAGCTGTTCCAAGGTAAGAAAACTCAGCATATTTTCTCTCATAACTTGTAGTTTCAATATCCAATTCCTTTTTTAACATCACAGGGTGAAACCAATATGCAATAAAAAGAAAGATAACCTCTTTTTAATCACTCTCTGAAATGAAATCAGAGTTTGTAAGATTGTGTTATAGCCATCTATAATACTGTGCTGATCTAAAAGTTTTCCCTAGTTACAACTGCAGCTGTCCATATAGAGCCTTATCATTAAATTTAAATGTTTTGGGCAAATTGCAAAGTTTATGAAGCAGAAGAACAACTTTTATCGCCACACATTTAACTCAAACAGCACTGGAGTGTGTCCAAAGCTGTTTTATCAACAAGTCTTACCAAACAGTGCATAAACTTGCTTTTGCTACTCTAGCATTTTAGTACATTGCTCTGCATTGAAACTTTGTGAGCTGGAGACAGAGTTTACAAATTAGTTCATAAAACTATTTGCAGGCGCTAAATGTGGCGAAGCCTTAAACTATGCATGGTTCTAATTCCAACTAGAGGGAAATGCCTCAAGGTTTTTTCAAGGACAAAAAGCCTCTCCCTTCGCTGTCACAGTCTTCCCATATTTTAATCATTCATAGTGCATGCATAATGGCTTATTCACTATCCATATTTATCTACATTTATTCAAATTAGAGTTCAAATAGATTGGTATTCTGCATAAACTCTAGAAAAGCCATGAGTGTGTGCAGGAGGCTGTAGTTTAGAACCATTAGACCAGATCTGCTTGCATCACAAAGATAGCAAGGACAAAAATATTGTCTGCTGAGAGGAGTGTTGGAAAAACTCTGAAAGCCAGATGTAACCTTCAGCAAGTGTTTATTTTTCCTAACCTAGTTAAGAATATATTTTGTAGCAGCATGTTAAGGCAGATAAAAAAAAAAAAAAAACATACACCATTAGGAAAAACAGAAAAAGCCTCATGATTGGTCTGATGAGTAAGAAACCTATAAAATTACATCATGGGAGTGTTTAAGAACAACAGAAACTCAGCCACAAAGTGTTATAGCTGATTTATACTTTGAAAATAGGTCGTCTGCGTAGGTGTCGCAGTGAACAAAAAGACGTCCCCCCCCCACCTCTGCAGAGACTCCGCTGCACCTCTCCCAAATTGTAGCTGACCGCAGACAGTGCCGCAGACAGGAGGCCGGCTCTTTTTGCTTTTATGACCGAAATTGCAGAAAACAACTTGTGAAGTTGGACCAGTTAGAAGAGCGAGGTGTGCGAGAACGCTGGGACCCTTTTCCCACCTGGATCTCTGCTATTTTTCGCCGTCATGTCCCTCCGTTGTTTGACAAACTCACCCCAACTTCCTCACCGCCTCGGCCTTATCTAGACCCACAGTATGTAGCACAGACCACGCTTCAATACTGGGCATAAATCGCTCACTGCGACACACTGCTACAGGAGTATAACCAGCCCTTTAGGCCACATAAACCAGTGCCTCATAGTGAGGAGAGGTTTACCAACCTTCTGCAGTGAATCACTATACACCTCCAAACTTCATGTGGCCTTCAGATTAACTTAATTAAGAACAGAAAGCTTCATGGAATAGGTTCCCATGGTTCAGCAGCTGCATCCAGCCATAAATCACCAAGTGCAATGCAAAGAGTGGGATGTACTTTCTAGAGCACACTGCCACTGGACTCCAGAGAATTGAATATGTTCTCTCTGGAGTGATTAATCGTGCTTCTCCTTCTAGGAATCTAATGGAAGAGTCTGGATTTGGTGGTTGCCAGGAGAATGGTACTTGCCTGACTGCATTGTGCCAAGCATAAAGTTTGATGGAGGGGGGATTATGGTGAGGGGTTGTTTTTTTGGAGCTGGGCTAGCTTCAGCATCACAAGACATTTTGGACAATTCCGTGCTCCAAATAGGGCATTAACGCGTTGTGATCTCAAGCATCTGGAGCAAAGTGTCATGAGCGTTTAAACATCTAACACGCATCACACATTTCTAAGCAGCTGATGCTGGAGTTGGATAATCTGAACTTTTTCTGTTCAACAACAACCAATCAGTAAGAGGCTCCTCTATGTGTTGGTGTCCTGGCAGGGTATGCAGGCACCGATTTGGGGTGGCAAGTTGTCAAATTTGGCTCGGATAAGACGAAAACAGCTCTGGAAGCGACCCATGTCAGTGTACAGCACTTAGAGAATGCAGTGAAACTCTGACCCGAGCTGAACGCCTCTGAAGTATCTGGTTCAATTTAGTGTATTTATTTTATTTAATAAAACACAAAAGAACTGATTCATTTATAACTCATTTATTTAACCAGTAAAAGTGTTGATCGAAGAGAGCAGTATGAAGTGAACCTTACAATATCTGATTCCACTTATATAAAAGTAATAAAATAAACATACAATGCTGCATTTTATATCAGATAGAGAGTGCTATGATAATAGAATAAGCCAATGAGACCAGGTTGCAAGCACACAGACATGTGGGCCCACAGCCGTTTGAGGTAGGGGGCAACTTAAATGTTGTCCAGATATGAGTTGACAGCTTTATTAAGTGGAATTGTCAACAAGTGGACTTTTTGGTGAATCCACTATCTCCCAACTTTGTGGTAACAGTTTGGAGCTGGCCCCTCCCTCTTCCAACATGAGCGTATACCAGAGCACAGAGCAAGGGCCATAAAGACATGGATGCTAGAGTCTGGTGTGGATGAACTTGACTGGCCTGCACAGAGCCCTGACCTCTAATAGAACAGCTTTGGGATGAATTAGAGCAGAGACTGAGAGACCTCCTCGTCCAACCTCAGTGTGTGACCATACATGATGGCTCTGGAAAAATGGTCAAAACTTCTCAGACGCTCCTAAACCTTATAGACAGCCTTCGTACAAGAGTTTAAGTTTATCTAGCTGGAAAGGGTGACTGACATCATACTGAATCCTTGTGAATTAGGAATGGGAAATCACTGAAGCTCTTATATTAATCAAGGAAGGTAAGTGAATACTCTTGTAAATATAGTGTATCTCTCTACTTGAAAATCAGCATCCTTCATTTATCTTCACTAATATGTATCTCCCACAACTTTACAACAGTAATCTCTTTTAAATAATTCTAATTCATACTTTTTATGAATTATAAATTATACCTGCCCTTAAAATAAAGACGAAAATCATGACTAGCAAGTAGGTCCAGAGCATCCTGTCTCTTGGGCTTAATGTAGTACATAAATGTTGAATAATTATGTTTTTCTTTTCAGAACACATGAAACACATTTCACAGTACATGTACATAAGGAGTTAGAAAAATCTGAACAAATCTAACAGAGGGATTTGTTTGAATTGTCTCTTTATAGTGACTTGAGATCACATGTGTTGTAAATTGGTGCGATATAAATAAACTGAATTGAAGAATTGAGTCACACATAGTGTAGCAAAAAAGGATTTGTATCTTTTAAGTATCAAAGGATTTTAAATTAATCTTATTTACTTGAGATTATCTTTTCCAGACCGAAAGAAATAAATTCAGAAAGCAAAATTGTATCTAAATTCTCTGAAATATTTAACTAGAAAGATATTTTGAATTCCCTCTCTGTCTTACCCCTGCAACAAAATTGATCTGTAAGAGCTTGGCTGTAAATCTTGACAGTTTTTTACTTATTGCACCATTTTGTCCGATATTAAGACTAATTGTTTGGCTACACAGGGAATTCACTTTTTAATGTAACCACCAAATGTACATTATAGTCCTGACTGTACTGTGAATTATACAGCACGTTTAGAAGAAACTATTACTATCAGACTCTGAAGTTGTCATTTTATATCAAATCTCCTTTCCCTGTTATTCCACCAGTAACTGTCACCTGTTTTTATTCTTTTTACATCTAATTCCTCACTTACCCACTGGCATGCCGATGCCGTAGCCCTTGGTGTCAAGCAGCCCTCCAATTTGAGTCAGGTTGCAGTTCCTCTGGCGGTAGTACTCGTTCATGGTGCTCTCCAGCAAATAGGCGTAGTTGGAGTTCAGGACCCGAGCGATGCCCTCCTCTGTGCTTTTTACAAACACGCTAGGCTGCTTTGAGTACATGAAGTTCCACATGCGCTGGTAGGTCTGGTAGCGAGAGTTCTGCAAGGCCGCAAGAAGATGAGATCAGATCAGAATAAACAAGCAGTCGGGTGCAGAAGCCGGGCAGCAGGGGTTTATAATCGGCAGATAAACATTTTCTCCCTTTGCCTATGTGGAGATAAGGTCTTTGTTTTTTGTTTTCCCTTTTCATTTTCTTGACTGATGGATTTATTCAAATTCAGTGCTCCAGATTTAGTGCTTATGCTTCATCTGCAGTTTTATCTTCTACAGTAGACTAGCTCCAATTTAGACCAAAGACTTGAGATGCTTAAGCCTGTCTTACATTTGTTCCTAACCAGTTATTCAGGTTGCAATAGTTGTGAGAGCATCAGGGAGAGCGGGGCTAATGACCCTACCAACCGCATTATCTTTTATTGGCACTCTGACATCTGTCTCTCTGGGGTCAAATATGTGGAAGATTTAAAAGGTTAGAAAGGGAATTGACAGCCAACCAACAGAGGAGGATACTGGATAGCGATGTGAACAGGCTGGATGAAAAAACATATGGTTAAAGGAGAAAGAGAAACAGGTGATTACAAAGATCCCAACACTCTCAAGCTACTGATCAACAAAAAAATATGGAAATCTGAGTGAACTAAAAGTTGTGACAGGTTTGAAAGTAATTTATGCATCAGACCTCGTGTAGTATTTTGGCTCTTAGTGATCTATGAACTAATTAAATAATAATAATTAAAAAACAAATTAAATGGATTTTATTAACAAGATCTTGATTCTGACATTTAAACCTAATTGTAATCTTGAGCTGACAAAAAGTCAAAAATATGCAAACAAACTGTACATTTCTGGAGTTTGTCTTAATTTGAGCTGGATATTTAACCATTCTGACAGAACTAGCATAGTTCAATTGAACTGGTTGGTTTTCTGTCTCAAACCTAACATTTTATGGTAGTGTTTCACTGCAGAGCTCACTGAAAGACGTCCTTGAATTGCTTTAATGGTATTTAATGGTATTTCAATTTATTTATTTTTTTTAAGTTATGATGTGTGCACCCTTTTTTGTTAACATGTCATTTTATTTTCCAAATACCACCTTCTGTTGATTGTTTGACTATTTAATCCCAGCTGAATAGCAGTTTAACAACAACAACATAATGATACTTATGGCATCAATCTTGTAGTTTCCCTTGAACCAAAGCCTTATCATGACTCATCAACACAATCTCTTCATCATTTTAGCCAAACAGCAACATCCTTGTCTTGTTTGAACATAGACTACTCTCCAATACGCTTTCACCTTTTGCAGGTGAGCAGCTCTAAAATTCAATCAAGTTTTAAAATGTTTCATTTGGAGATAAGGGCTTGTTCTGTTTGGACATTCTTTGTCCATCATGAGGGAAAACACCTGTACTTTGTCCACTGGCATTACAATTGCTTCCAGCTAATAGAAGGATGGAGCCTTGGGAGTTTCTGGGATATTCCTAAATGAATATCCCTAAATGCTCTATCCAGTTCTCTTCAATATGTGCACATGGGTGAAGGTGGGTCAGGAAGTAAGAGTTAATCCTGTAACCTGTGAGTTGCCAGGTTGAACCCCCTTTGTTCTGTCCTTGGCCGAAAGACTTTGCTCGGTATGCCGGCTACTGGTGCTGATGTATGGCAGCCTCGATTCTGTCAGTCCACCTTCAGTGTATTGGTGTATTGGTGGTGTAAACCTCTGACTTGAAGTTTTAAAGATGTGTTGGTTTCAAGTTTGATGCAATTAGGTGATGATAGAAAATGCATTTAAGTTGGATTTCCAAAGTTGTATGAAACAGTCTACACTGTGCTTAAAAGACAAGACTGTGTCATCAGTTTCCCATCCCATGCATGAAGAACTGGAGAGCTCCTTGAGTGACAGATTGCTGCATCCTACATGCACCAGGGAGCGTTAACACAGATCCTTCCTCCCAGCAACTGTAAGACTCTATAACCACCACTGTTCCCAACAACATCAATAAGTTGCTACATTGATGCTGATTTTGCAAAGTTTCTATCTTAGTCAATTTATTAACATGCTGCCTCCATTTTGCGCATCTCCGATGTTGTTGCTATTTTCAAATATCCATTACTGTAGAAATATCCATAGCTGTATATTGGCTATTTGTTTCTATATTGTTAAACACTTTTACAGTGCATTACTTTATTTTTTATCTTTTAACTCTTCACCATTATGTTATTCTTATACATTTTCTAAGGTCAACATTTGTATGACAATTTTTTCTATACTCTTTTTGCTGCTGTAGACACCAGAATTTCCCCATTGTAGGACAATAAAGGGATTTTCTATTCTATTCTATTCTATTCTATTCTATTCTATTCTATTCTATTCTATTCTATTCTATTCTATTCTATTCCATCCTGTCATAATTTACAGCGGCACTTCTAATTATTTTTTTAACCTTTTTTTAACTGCTTAGCAGTATACAAAAGAACAGTTAAGAAAATGTTCACAAGTAACCATATTTTTATGAGATTCACTACAGCATAAACCCTCATCTGCAGTAGGGATGTGTTAAATAAGAAAGAAGTGGGGTTAAAAGCTGTAAAGTGAGCTCTCACCATAAAGAAGGTCATGGTGGATCCTCCATGCATGGTGCCGTACTCTATCGCTGTCTGATCTGCCAGGTCGTCTACTGACTCTATTGGCACCTCCATCCTTTGCACAGTCAGGAAGGCGGCCAAGTTGGCAGTGTACGAGGATATGATGATTAATGTAAAGGCCCACCTGTGGAGGATGGCAGAGATAAAGAGCATATGTATCCATCTATAAACGTGTGTCAAAATTAACTGTTTTATGAAGACAAATTGTCCCGTTGAAAGTGTAGGAAGATTAAAAGAACTGCACACCTGAGAGGGGAAAACAGGACAGGAGGTTTCAGTGGTTGATGTATAAGGGGGTTGGTGGAAATGGATGAAGAAATGGGGAAATGGTTGGTTTGGAAAGGATTTTAGCTGGAAAAGTAGACACAGACAGACAATGTCTCAAATGTGCACCTACAAAGATGCAATTATACATTTTGGAAAACTGTCCTGGAAACTTGGAATAAAGGAGATCCACCACAAACTTTTAGTTTAAAAATAAAAAGAAGCAAACAACAATTCCAGCTCTTTGACTTAGATAATGCATAGGGAATATAAAAAATGTCGAGCCGAGTTGTGTGCTCTGGTCTTTATCTCTTTACTAATTAAATTTTTGTCTTCAAATATAAAAATTTCCTTCCATTTTGCTTATTTTTTCCTTAAAAAACTGACCTCTTTCAGCTCTAGAATATATTTGGCTCAAGTACTTTGACTTCCCCATATTTGGTTTTAATTTGATGGATATTTTTATTGCCAAAAAAAGAATGTATCTCTAGCATATATATAGAAAATGGGGGCATTTCATCCAATAACTTTAATAAATAAAATTACCAGCTTCTATGTTGTTTCTACCAGCTTCTACTTCACTTGAAATTACACCACAATTTTTTGTTATACATATCATTGAATTTGCCTGATTGTTACTCCTAGACATTTTTAATGACCAGTCTGGTAACTTTCTTCACTTTTTTTTTTAGTTCTGTTTGAATTAAGATCAGATTTATTTGGCATAAAGTTTGATAAGCAGAGAGCAGCAGCAGGTGATAAGCAGGAGCCCCGCTTTGTTCTGTTGAGTAATGTAATATGTAAATAATTTTAAGGTCAACTTTTTAGCGGTTTAATACTTTGTTCAAATCCCTTGTAAATAAGGTCAAATACTTCTCTACATTCGTAAGTTCTTGTAAATACCTGGTTAGGGCATTGCACTTGAAATGCGCAACATTACAACAGGAATCCTGAGGTTCTGAGTTCAAGCTCCCACGGGCTGCCACTCTGGCTCCCAGAGCAAGACCCTAGTGTCAGTGTAATGACAATAAAATACTGGAATAGGTTTTTCTTCCCTTTTTCAATTAGGCACATGTGGTCTAAAATCAAAATGCAACATGAAGGTTTGGTCAAATGTTTTCACTTTTGCAAAATGCTTTATCTAATCTCACCAAGCATGAAAAAGGACGCAGTTTCTAGTGGCTGGTGAGGATTCTCAGTCAACCAGGTCATAGTAATTGTTTTGAACTCATGCAATTTGTGGGTTTTCAAAACAAAAACAAGGTTTTGATGGGCTACTGTATAAAACCTCAAACTCAAAGCTATTCCTGACATTTGAATTGAGAAAGCTTCCTGGATGGAAAGTGAAATGTCTTCAATCTTGGAAACCCAGTAGACTGTTTTTGACCTTTTTTTTTTTTTTTTTTTTTTTTTTTTTTACAGTTTCACAAATTTCTTCAGGTCTTTCATAAGTTATGTTTGAAAAAATATTTCAATGTGCAAAAAGGACACCTGATTTTATTGTTTATAAATAATAAAATGTAAAAATGTGATGGCATGTGAAAACAAACAATTAAATGCATTTCATGTGGTGGATTCAAATGCTGAAAATAACTGTCAGTACTAACCACACACCGCTGACGCAACGTGTCGACAGTGCTCTGGGAGCAATGGTGGATCCCTGCTGCATGAATCCCCCAACAGGAAACCAGAAACTGTTGCCTAGCGAGTACTGGTTGATCAATAAGCTGCAGCGTCCCTTCAGACAGGGGTGGGGGTTGTACCACTCGTAAGGCGTCAGTCTACAGATGAGGAGGAGGCAGTGGAGGTTATATAAACAGTCAGAGTCTGAATGAATGCATCAGAGTGAATAAACCCAAGAGACAAATTTTGAGACGGAAAGAAGAACGAATGACAAGGAGCAAAGTGACTGCAGGAACGAAGTTCGCACAAAGTCACCTTGGCTCTCCAGAGAGAGAAACAGCTTACTTTTCAATCCCGAAAGTGCAGCTCACTTTAATCATGGTGACACCGTCTGATTGAATGCACTAATGCAGCAGCATGGGACCCACACCAACACTTGGTCATGTGCAACATGACATTAGTTCATTTACAAACGTCTTCTTTAAATGTGAACTGCTGTGGGATTTGTCTCGTAAACAACTAAACTAGGAAATTAAAGGAAGTCATCTGTGGCTGTTCTTTAGCATTTCATGGTGCATATCACCCACTGAAATCTTAAGAAAGGCTTAATAAGCCAGCTGATCTGGGATCAGGCATTACAGAAATTCTGCAGCTTGTTGTTTAGAGTAATTAGCACTCTTTCAGTCAATTCATCCAGCACTACATGCTCCAGCAGTATTTCCAGCAGTACTGTCGCTGGCAAGCAGGTGGCAGTGTGGATCTAACAAACCACAACATGGAGGCTAGAGCAGTTTTGTTCCCTGTGGTGTTGAAGATCAACCTCAAAAACTTAAAAGAAGAGAGGGAACAGACACCTGTTTCCTGCTCTGTGTATCCCCCAAACAACTCTTTTTTGTTTCTAATCTCTGTACCCTTTGTTCTACTCTCGTACCTTTGTCTCCCCCTCCTCTGTAAAGATCAAACTCTCAGTACCTGGCCACTAGAAAGAGGACGCAGCTGACGGCCAAGTAGGCCAGAAGCATGAAGAGCCAGACGCCAGGGGAGAAGGGGTCCAGGAAGGAGAAGTAGCCCGGCCGACGTCCCTGAAACGCAACAAACACAAATACGTTAGTGGCTGCATAAAAGGAAAAAAAAAAATTTAATTAAACACATATCTAAACTTCCTTAACTTAGACAGCTTTTATTGTTATTTCGTTTTGTACAGCTCTCATGACATTTCCATTCCTTAAAGTGCAGCAGTGATCAAACGTAGTGTGGGCAAAAAAACTTGGAGCAAAAACAACGCATTGATATGAAAGTTCAGAGCAATCCCGCAATACCAGAGCAATATATATGGTGCAATTATGCAGCGTTTTGGTTTGGTGTTGACAGTGTGATACAGAGTCTGTGATATGATTTAGAGTTTTCTCAACAGTCCAGCCGTCTGGTGGTGGCAGGGAAGAAGCTGTTGCAGAACCTCCTGGACCTGCATAGAATGCTGCAAAGCCTCTTCCCAGAAGGCAGCAGGGGGAACAGTTCATGATGGGGCTGTGAGGGGTCATTGGACCCAATGACCAATTCATTTTCATAGTTAAATACAAGATTAGATCCCAGCAAGGACTAAAAAAGTACTCACACCTTTTACGTTTTATCATATTACAAGCTGCATGAGAAAGTAGCTCATGAATGGGGAGTGAAAGAAAAAGGAAACATGATTTCAGATCCCTTTATTCTGAAACCACTAAATTGAATCCAGTGGTGGAAACTGGTTTCAGTGTAAATACACCTGCACTGTTAACACATCGGATAATTGTTAGACATTAGTGGACATGAAGTTCACAGCTTAGAGGAGTGCATTTGTTTGCAGGAAAACTGTCATTGGGTCAATAGGTATGGACAAGTGGCAACTTTTTAACTGCTGCAGTGTAGGGAAACTGGTCAAATGTAGTCGACTCATATGGCCCAATATTAGACAATCCTGGAGAAAAACTTGTTGGAGGCTGCGAAAGATATGATGAAACCAAATTACACCCTTAAAGCTGAAAAAAAAAAAAAAAAACATAACACATAATCAGAGCTACAATGCTTTAGCATATATTCGTGTCAAAAGGGCCTAGTCAAAGCACGGTTGTGAATCTAAAAAGAAAATTTGTGGTAAGAATTAAAGATTAATGCTCACAGATGATCTTCATATAATTAAACCGGGGTTAAAAAAAAAAAAAAAAAAAAAAAAAAAAGATAATGAAACATATTATGGTCTAGGTATATAAAAAACATTAACAGTTGGAATTAAACCACACAGGTTGGTCTATGAATTACTGGCCCAGATGTGATGAAAACAAATAAACAGCAAACATTGCAGCATAACACTGCACCTACTTTGTGTTTATGTATCAAATAAAATCCAAATAAGGTAGTTTGTGAAAGTAACATGAGAAAATGTTGAGAAAATCTTCAATAGTTATAGAATAACCATAACTATATTTAAGTTGGAGCAAAAACAGATATTTAGCTACTTTGCACTTTCAAACACCTCTACACTGTGTTATAGAGCAGGAAGAATGATTTAAAGGGATTTTAGTGTAAACTCACTCGCTTCAGGCCAGTTTAGTTTGTGAATCTAGAATTAGCAGCTGCCTGCTGTAATTTGGAGAAGGCAGAATAAGGTGACTGCAACCGTAAATAAAGCGATTTTGATGCGATAAGCACAGATCTTCCTGTCCCAAACAGATAACACTATAATTATGCGTATCTCATTTGCATGTAAACACTCAGATCAACGCTGTATGAAAGCACAAACTCAGTCTCCCATGAAATGTCAACAGAGTGGCGCAAAGCTGTAGAGTGATACGTCAACAGAGATAAGAGGCTTTATTTCCCAGTATGATGCTAAAAATGTGTTGCCTTGGAAAATAACTCAAACTTCATCTTACATCTGCAAACATCTGTTAATGGTAATAAAGTTTTATTTGAAATATCAACACAAAGTAGCTCATAATTTGGAAGTGGAAGAAAAATTAGGTACATTTTTTAACATAAAAAAAGCCGAAAAGACTTTTCTATTTGTATTTAGCCTTTTTTAGTCAGATAACCTAATAAGTTCTAGGGCAATCAATTGCTCAAAGAGGTTCCTTAATTAGGGAATACAGTCCACATCCTGCTGTTCAATAAAGCCCCAGATACCTATGAGGTAACATTACTTGAAGAAACACACCAGAATTGTGTGAGCTGATATAAAGCAAGGTAGTGGTACAAGACCGTAGTTTTTAGCATTTCATGGTTCATGCTTTGATCTGTTATTTAATAATTAGGAGATAATGGAGAAACGAAGAAGGATATGGTAACTCTGGAAGAGCTACAGAGAAACTGTAACTCAGTGAGAATAATCTGTTAACAGGCTATGTTTTAGTCATGCACCGTTTTTATTTTGAATATATATTCAAAACAGGTCACGCTCTAAAATGGAACTTTGTGTATCAATGAGGTTTATCAGTATGGATTAAATTGGAATAAAACCAAATGGAACATCTTTAATGGAAGAGTGGCAAGAAGAAAACCGCTCCAAGCCACAAAGTGGACAGTGAAAGTGTAATAAGTGTCACACTCCGGGTTCTATCCGGGTGCAGGCCAGTTTTTCTCTCTCTCTCCTCTGCAGGGATGGACGGGCAGGTGCACTACATCTAAGGTGATCACCACCCTTCTTAAGGAGCTGGAACCAGGAGGAGGGCGTCAGTTCGTTAACGCCACAGCGTTGGTAACAGACCAAACCCAAGTCTAGTCCTAGTAAAAGTTAAACCCTACTCTAAATCCAGTTTTGATCCTTTTTCTGCAGAACCCTCGTTTCTGACCCCTGGACCCAGCAGTGAACCTTAGACCTTGGACCCTCCGCCTGAGAAACAACCAGGAACCCGAGAAGGATCTCAGGTTAACCACCGTTCAGCCCTCCTACCTGCGATCACCTGCCTGTCCACCCTCGAACCTCCAAACAGGGAGAGAGTACTGGTCAGCACACGGGCCACCGGGGACACTTCCCCCCCAAGACCGGACCACAGCCTCTCTACTGTGAGTGTCAGCCCCACCAAAATCCTCCAGCACAGTTTCCTCTCATTCACCAGCCTCTTCTTCTCTGCAGAAGCCCAGAAGAACCTGACCTGACCAAACTGCTTCCAGTTCATGTCCACTGCCTTGTTTCTCAATAAAACCTCTTAAACCTTCTCCAGCCTCTGTAGTTGCTCTCGTCCAGAGTCACCTTCAATTATGACAATAAGAAAGAAGAATCTCTGTTCAGAAGAGAGGAAAAGAAGGAAAAAAAGATTCTTAGCAAGCAAGACACTGTGTGAGGAGAAAAACAGATGCTGCCTTCACTGTAAGACATGGCGATGGCAGCATCAGGATGTGGGAATGAATTAAAGAAAAATGGGCACAATGTCAGTCTCCAGATGAGCAAAGAAGGCACAGAAATACAGTGAAAACAACTGCAGCTGTAACTGTAGTAAAACGTGGTTCAGTAAAGGGTTCACTCAATGTGTTAAATGCAAACAAATGTCACGCAGGTTAGATTTGTTTTTATATAAAACAGCTAAATAACATGATTTTTTTCATCAACCTATTCATCATTATTGACTGGTCTGATATATGCAATGCCAGTGTTGTGCATGAAACGTTCAATGAACGGCATTCACAGAATATCCTCATATTTTTAGTGAAGGATGAACTGAACTGACCAGTTTTGATCTTAATATTAATGAACATGAACGAGAGCGATGTTCACTCTGAGAATAATGAGCGACGCACACAGCTCACATTCATGTTTACTTGATAACGACACTTCATTGGATAACGTCAGGTTTTATGGCACTTATTACTGTACAGCACAAATCATGACAGACCAGCATGTCTACTGCTAGTACTACTCTGCGCAACTCAGTCTCATCTATTGGTATTGCTGATGCCAGTTTATTTAACTAACAAAGGAAGACTTTGACAGAAGAAACCACAGGTTTTTGCAAACTGTGCCCATTGGGACTTAACAAACAAGTCCATATGTCAGCCACGTCCCTCAAATTTAAAGCAAAACATTGAGTTAAAGCATCGGAGCTATCTTGGGAAATATCTGCTACTCAATGAGGAAGGTAAGAAATAATTTTTGATACCGATTTTTTCAGCAGAACCTGAATGTACCTGTATGTTTCTGAAGTTCTGTGTAATTTGGCTAAATAAAAGCTTCACTGCACATACAGTATACCTTGACTGCATCAAGCATCTTCCATTTGTCTCTATATATTATGATCACACATTTAAAGGATAAAATATCAGTTTGCAACCTTAGATCAGTTTTTTGAAAAGTGAACTATAAACGTGAGCTACTTAAATTTCATTTGTGTTAAATGGAGCCTAGGGGGAAGTGCAACTGAAGAAACCCATTGCCTTTCATACATCCACCTGTAACACAGCCAATCAGCTTATGAACCACATCTCCATGAAAGCCAATCGGCATCCAAAGCTCATCTTTAAAGACTTCCGATACCCACCATCTGCTCCTGTGTGCAGGCGGCGGATGCGCTGTGTGACTTCATTCAGATGACACCGTTTCAACCCACCTCCAGCCCCTCCTCCACCATCGTAGCTTGAGCTTCAGCAGAGTGTCATTCCTCCCAGACTCTTACTGTGTTCTAAGGGTGTGCAAAATAATCGTCAAATCGATGAATCGTGATTCTAATTTTTTTGATCTACTGAATCGATTCTTGAAGGCAAGAATCGATTATTAAAAAAAAAAAAAATGAACAAATAAAATACATTAATGGTTGGCGCACATCAATCAAACCAAGTGGAATACAACTTCCAGTCCAGCAGATGTCGCTGCGGATGTGTTGACGCCTGCTGCTTTGTGTCATAAGCATGTCCGGACTGATTATCCTCATTTTGTTATTTTAAGTTTGATGAATCCTAAGATCTTTTTGTTGGTGTGTCCATGCCAGTAATAGTAATATTTCTGTCCAGTATTTGTTTTCATTGCAACACCTCCTAAAGTAATTTCAATAAATACAGCTATGTATGAATTCAGTTGCTTTCAGTTATGTATCAATTGAAGACACTATCCAGA